GTTTGTGTATCTAACTGCTGAAGCATTGCTTGAATCCTCATCACTCTCTCTTTCAACGGTACTAGATGATGCTGAAACTGAATTATCATGCTGCCGATCAGCACTTTTTTTTTCATCTTCCTTGGTATCACTACACAAAGCCATCTGCCAAATCACTTGCTTGTATGTTAGACCAAGTTCTTTCAGTACATCAGCATCAGCAGCACTCAATTCCGAGATAACTGAAGCTGTTCCTTTCAACAAAAAGTTGGAGAGGGACAACATGCCTTCTAGACAGGAAAGAGATCTCAAAATCTTCATCTGGACCGCAGACTCTAATTTAAGAAGCTGAGTGCCTTTAATGGAAGCCAAAAGCTCATGTGTGCTCTTCAGATGATCTCTTAGGTAGGAGCACACTATCCGGGCTAGACCAGCCGACTGCTGAGGGGAGAAGTTCTTAAAAGCGACAGAAAAACTTTGACCAAGAGAGGTTGACAGAGGCATAAGAGGTAAAGAGAATAGCTGCAAAACAGCATCGATACCTTTCTTCTCAACAAACAGGGAACATACTTCTGCATTCTGAAGAACTGTTTCGAAGAGACGAGCAACATTACCCACACAATCTGGAAGAAACAACTCAATGTTTGCTGGAGAAGTATCAGAAGATGATTCCGCTTCATCCGAAACCACTAAGCTCTTCTCATCAGCGTCAATTTCCATAGGAACGGGAGCAGCATCAGTAGGCACATCTGCTGAGTCAGAAGTGGTGGCCTGCATCCCAGATCCAATAATCAACAAGGAATTCAGGATGTCAATGAACATATCAACTCCATAAGTGCGCAACGAAGATTGGTGTCTTAAGAGTTCATCAAGCCCACTTGACAAAGTACCAGGTGTATCGCCAGTAAGAGCCCGCAAATAAGACGACGAAGTGAATATTTTAACAAAACACTTCAATGCATTTCGGTCCTTTACAGCTTGAAGACCACTATTGTTGAGGCACAGAGCATCCAGACACTGCGGAATGCATGTTATGGCTTCTGCAGAGCAGATGACCTCATCAGATATAGTATCAAGAAAGGCAGAAGTTAAACCAGCCGAGTCTAAAGCATTGAAACAAGTGGGATCTTTATGAATGAGGTCACTCATGACAGTGGCAGCAAGAGAGAATACTCCACCACCGAAATCTTTTGCTCTCCGGAAGATAATGCATAAGCATTCAGGCAGCAAGCTCTCCTCGGAACCATAGAGGTTAGTGTTACCAGGAGCATAAGTTCCAAGAGATATTGCACGTAACAAGGCTTTTAACAACAATCTCCTGTGGTACGAAATTAATGCTTCAGAATAGGGAAGCTGTTCGGTATCAGGCTGATTAAGAGAACCACCGAAAACAAGTGCATCCCTCCCATTACTATCTGAACTGCAATTTTTTTCTTTTACATCGTCTTCAGTACGAGAGACTTCCAGTTTCAACCGAAAGATCGTATCATCTAAGCCACCCAAATCTCTGAACAAAGCAGCAGCTGGATTGCTGTAATCCATGAAGGCTTCTAATATATGCACAGCGGTACTGACCAAATGCAAGTGCTGAGGATCTGTATCTTTGATGAGAGGCACTAGGGTCGGAATAAGACCAGCTTCTCGCATGGCTGAACATCCAGACGATGATGAAACCAGGACTGTAACAAGGGATAACAAGGCTTCCGCAAAAGCCAGGGACCACTTAGAAGTATTACAGATAACAGAATCAATCGCTTTCTGCATTTGGCCAGACAACAAACCACGATGCCCGCCGGAGGTGACTGCAGTTAAAACAATTGGCTGCCGAGTTCGATCTTGGGATAGTGCAACCAAGGAAAGCAAGCATAGTATCCTTATTTTCCCTGGAACAGTATCCTCATAGCTTACCAGCGTAACTAACTCATTTACAAACTCGGGTTCTCCATTGAAGAAAGAAACAACATTCTCGGTGTCACCACTTGCTTGAACCAAAACAATGAAAGCATATAAGCGAATGCATGTATACTGTTGCCGGGTAGACAAAGATGAGAACGCCCTCGCAAATCTTAATCTGGTCAACAACGCGAATCTTAAACTGGGAGGAACATTATGTTTAGTGACTAATTTGTTCAAAAGTTCCAGGTCAGACTCTGCACGCATGCTGACATCAGGAACATGGATAACTTGTAAACCGCCAGGAAGCTCACTTGATGATTCATTAGAAGCATAGAACTCAAAATGAAGAGTACAGCCTAGCTGGTGGGAAACCTGGTCACAACTGTTTTCTGTGGCACATGATGTCAAGCCAAGACCTTCCTCTTTTCCACCCCACCCCTGTGCAAGGGAAAATAGTTTTGAATTCAGAGAAGCATCTCGTATGGAGTATTTTCCAACTTGCCTCTTCAAGAAGGCAGCCAACGTCTGCAGACAGGCTTCAACGACATCTGCATCAGTAGATGCAAGCAGGAGAGAAAGATGCTGCTGCAGTTATGAAGGAACAAGAGTGTGAGAAATAGTCAGGTAGACATATCAAGAATTAGCATACAAAACGACATATCTCGAGGAACAACCAGAAATCCAATACAGAATATGAGTTAATAAACAATATCACCGACTTGTATACTGTGACACCAGTAAGAAAGAAACCATGCAAATATCAAATGACATTTAGGGGCATTGTGGCATGGATTTACCTCATAAGAACTATAAAAATGTTTGTTCGTGCAATTCTCTAAGACAACTCTGATAACTCGGAGAACTTGAAGAACAGCATCCTTTGGGAAAGAAGGACCAGCTTCCTCGAAGTTTTCCTCAATATGCAGATCTTTCCTTCCTTTTACGTGCTTCTCAAAATATGAGTCAAAATGATTAAAGAGGTCCACCCAGTGATGGAAATCACCCTATATAAAGGAAAAACAGCCATAGATCAAAACGAGAGTTGACAGAATTAAAAAAAAAAAAGAAGAAGAGCATCACAAACTGGATATAAGGTACCTTGTCGAATTTCCAGCGAAAACATGCAAGGGGTTCTTGTATTTGCTCGAGTGGAACAGCAGTGACACTATTGATGAAAGCTTTGATTTTGGGAGGCTGGTGGAAATGAAGCAAAGAAAGGTTACACAGCCAATAAATACAACATCAGATAGAATAGAACCGCACACATTCAGGAAAAAAGGAGAAGGAAAATACAGAGAAACATATTATGGAAAAGTAACTAAGGTTAACATACACTCCATATAAAAAGAAAAAAACCATTGCCACCGCTTCCAAGGTTTGGTTTAAGAACTCAAACCCCATTATACCAATCAAAGGAATCAATCAAGGCCCGAAGATCATATAACTAACCGAGCAAATATACAATACAGCTTGGGCAATCGTTAGTTCCAAGGAAGCCAAAGACAGTTAAAAAAGCAATAACAAGTAGCAGAAAACAAAAGAGTAATCTAGAAAGCACAAATACACCATAATGCACAGACACGGATAGTGATCGAAATTGATCAAGGGTTTAATTACACGGTTTTGGAACACTTACCACTTCCGAAGCCCTCCTCCTTCTGAGCTTCATGATTAGAGACAGGGCATCTCCCAAAGCAAACCAAAGATTGAGAATTGATCAATACACCGATCGAGAACTGAGCAATCACTTGTGAAATCGAATCAAAATACCACCGGTGAACTGGTCCAGTATTTGGACGGATGGCGATCGATCGCAGACGCAGACGAACGAGAAGAAGAAGAAGGAGGAGAAGAATTAACGATCTTGGAAATAATCCAAGCCTGGAGCGATCCGAAACTAGGGTTTTGAAGAGGATCGCGTATAGAGGGATTTGATAGAGAGAGAGAAAAAAGACGGTGAGAGAGAGAAGTGGAGAAGAATTCTAAGAAGCTAAGGCGCTTTGTGTTATATACAGGAAGCGAAAATCGTTCCAATGCCGGTTTAGCATTTTTTTTCCTTTTTCTTTGATATCCTTTTCTTTCTTTTCTTCTAATGTTAGAATTCAGTTTCGATTTTCTATATGTAACTATATGTGAAAAAACTATATGTTAATATAGAAAATACATATAAAACTTTTTTTACAGATCTACTGTTTTATAATTTTTTCTTCTATCTAACTTTTACATCACATCACATGTAGCTAGTCAAAAGATTGGTTTGAGAAAATAATAAACCTCTTGTTCGAGTTTCTTTTGTAAGTTTATCCATTCGACATTTAAACTTCTGGAAATATAAGATAAAGTGAAATCCGAAAAGCTCTCACAGAGGATACAGCAATATTCCAGTTTTAGCATAAATAAAAGACAGCTAATCCGCTAAAGATTCGGTCATATTCACAAGATCCGAACAATCAGTCTGGAAGTGAACCAATCACATCTATCTTTTTCCCTTTGCTATATTTCTAGATTCCAAAAAACTCTTTTTCTCTGTCATCTTCTAAATTTCACTCGAGGCCACTACCGGTCTATGACTGATCCAAGAAACATCAATCTGGCAAATCAGAAACCGCTGATACTCGATTAGAGATCTCGAGGACGAAGGGAAATGCGTAGTCTCAACATCTGTGTTTTATGATATAGATTTATAGAAAAGGTCATTTAAATCTTGAACAACACTAAGAAAATTGAACATTTGATTAAAAATTTATTGAATCAAATTTCATAAAAAGTATTTTTTTTGATACATTATATTATTAACTTGTATCTTCTTATATAAAACTACAAATTTATCGCTGATAATTGTTATATGAATTTTGATATAACCGGATAGATACTTTTCTATTTTTTTGTGATAATTGAACATGTCTTAAAAACCATTGCTTTGGAATTAACTGGGACTTTTTCTTCATTAAACTTAGTTGATTAGAGAGAAAAAAAAAAGGAAAACAGAAACAGAGAATCCTTGAGAAAAGGGTCGAAAAGCTAAAGACCATTGTGTGATTCTTTTCTTCACATCTCATGCCTTTTTCTTTCTTCCTCATGATTAGAAATCTTATTATATAAAAATTAATCATGAAATACACTAATATACTACGATATTTTACATTTACAATGTATATGATGCCTAACCTGGATGACAAAGGAATCAAACAAATAAACGAAGAATCATGTACATCTACACAAAGCCACTTCTTGTGTAATGCACCTCTCCCATGATGACTCAATCCTCAGTATCAGGTATTTCAAAGACCAGAAATTTTGCAAGAGAAGTGACTGTCTTACCATCTAGAGATCTCTTTCTCCGAGTCTTGCTTCTGAAAATAGATGATGATAGTGAAGAAGACACACGAGACTTGCCTTGCATTCTGATGTTGTTTGCAGCCACAATTAGTTTCTTGCTAATCGTTTCACTTATACTCACAGACTCTCCAGTTTTCCTCTCTGGCGTTTTTGGTATGAAGCTGCCCAAACATTCATAGGTTTTCAACTCAGCAGCTCTTGCTGTTGACAATAGAGATTTTATAATGGTTTTGGGAGCAAGAAACTCTCTCTTGCCAAGGAACGCAGGATTCCTGGAATCAGGTTTAGGGATCGGTTTGGGCGGAGATTTCTCTGTCTTCTTGTTTTCAACATCAATTTGGTCAATGCTGGTGGATATGCTTGGCTCTTGTGATCTGTTAACAAGTCTAGCTTCTGCATGGATAAACCAGGGCTTTTGGTCATCCCGGAAGAAGTACTTTATAGGCACAGATTCGGCAAGGTAATAAAACTGAGACTTTCGTTTAACCTATGATACAAAGAGGAGCAAAAGTTGAGCATTTCCAGCAATGGATTTAGGTAACAAAATCAAAATCAAAATCACGGGTGTGAAAGAATATGGATTGCTCATATGCATCACCATTAGACCATGAACTTGTATGTCCCCTAAGCTCGGTAAGCAACTTGCATGTGTTTTCTCAAGTTTTCCTGCAAAAGCACATTTCGCATTGATACATGATTTGATGTTCATAAAGAAAAACTGGCAAATGGTAGGTACTGAAATGGTGTATCAAAAAAACAAAATAGAGATCATCAACCTTCAAGTTTAAAGGCAAAAGGGAAAAAAAAGAAAAGAGAAAAGAAAACAATGCATGTGCATTGAGCAATCTCATCTCAAGATGTCGCGAAGAGACATATTAACAAAGATACACATTCACAAGAACTAAGAAAGGCACTGTGCAGGTCTTCAGTGTGTAACAACAGATAGTTAAAGATAGAAACACTTGTTTTTATGCTCACCATAGGATTGAATCATACATAACCTGTTGGATTCACAACACAACTTGAACGATTTATCTGTAATATTCTAGAAAGATTTCATATTTACCTCTAAGAAAAAGAAACAGGAAAAAAAAGAAAGAGATCTCCCTTCATCTCAAAATGGGCATGCCATATCAGTTTCCTGACGGTCCAAAACAATCACAGGAAGACGATTCAGAAAAATTCGATCAAAGATCCCCATCTATCGCTAAGTTCAAAGTTTGTTAAAACCAGAGATAATCGACAAAACAGAGAGAAGAAAAACTAACAATTAGTTAGGGAAAACACAATCAAAAGAGCAAGTTTTAACAGGAATCATAACCGAAAGAAAAAGGGTTTTATCATTAGAGCTTACTCTTGAAATCTGATGATGTGATATCGAGAGGAACCGTCATGACGATTCGGGTTCCCAAGTTAGTCTCAGCAAAGAAAGCCACTTCTTCTGCCATTGTGTGAGAGCAGAGACGCGGAGGGAGGCTTCAGGCAAGTTGTTCGTTAATAATAAGAATAACAATCACGCTGTTTCAAGCCTTGTAAAGAGAAGTGTGTACATTTTTTGGTAGCTAAAAACGACGGGCTGTGCATGTGTAGATTTCGAAAGCTTGAAACGGCACCGCTTCGTCGTCGGAATCAATCATCTTTGCGTTGCGACCACCGAGCAAAACCTAAAGTAAAGGAAGTGCCACTGCCATTTCCGGGTTCGAAAATATGCGCCGGCACAAGCGATGGCCTTTGAGGCCTCTCGCCAGTGCTTTGGCTCGTTCGCGGTTCTGCTCCTCGGCGGCGGCGGCGGGGGCTTTCCCGTTGAAGCACGTGACGAGGTCGAACTTCGAGATGACGCTGAATGATCTGCGTTCGCACGTGAAGGCTGCTGATTTCGTGGCGATCGACCTCGAGATGACTGGCGTGACGAGCGCTCCGTGGCGAGACTCCTTGGAGTTCGATCGCTACGACGTCCGATACCTCAAAGTCAAAGACTCCGCTGAGAAATTCGCCGTCGTTCAGTTCGGCGTCTGTCCCTTTCGCTGGGATTCTCGCACTCAGTCATTCGTTTCTCACCCGTTAGTCTCTCTCTGTCTCTTTCTCTCTCTAGCGTTTGGTGTTCTTCATTTTCTGATGGATTTGACTATATGGGCAGGCACAATTTCTTTGTATTTCCTCGTCAAGAGCTCACATTTGATCCACCAGCTCATGAATTTCTCTGCCAGACGACATCCATGGATTTCCTTGCAAAGTATCAATTTGATTTCAACGCCTGCATACACGAAGGTGCCTCCTTTTTTTTCTCATTTTCACTTAATATTACTTAGGCTTTTACATACCAATTTTGGATGTCCTCGTGATTAGAAAGAAAAGAAGGCATAGCAACAAAGAAATTTTGGGTTTCAAAAAGTGTGTTATTCAGTCCCTCAGGAATTCACATATTTGAGTAATCCCAGGAATATCTTATTTGTCCAGAAGACAAGAGGAAGAAGCGAGTAAGCGTTACGACGAGGAGAGTGTTGATTCAGTGGTTGAAACAGAGGATTTAAAGCTGGTGCGATTGGCGGATCTTCTTTTCTCTGAAAGGATGAAGAAAAGGTTTAATGAATGGCGGTCTGCCCTTTTACACGGTTCCTCTGAGTCTCCGGGGATCTCAAGTGGATCGACCGAGAGTGCTGAAACTGTCTTCTACCACATGCGTCCAGCTCTCAGTCTGCAGGGTTTCACTTCTCATCAGCTCAGGGTTATCAAATTGGTAATGCTCTTTGTTCTGAGATTGATTGATCTCTGGTTTTCATCCTTTCTTCATCCTGTTTTTTTTGTTTTCTTTTCTAAACTGTTGCCTCTGGATTTGGCTTTGCAGGTTTTAAGGAAGCATTTTGGAGATCTTGTGTACATACATACGAATGATAAAAGTTCCTGTTCAAAAGACTTTGTTGTGTACACTGATTCAGAATCCGACAAGGAAAATCTCATGGTAAGGTACTGTACCATTTACATTGCTGGAAAGATTTGTTACTTATTTGATGGGTTAGCAAAGTTCAGGCTTGAGAGATGATCTATGGATAGTGCAGTAGTCACTGAGTCTTCTTCTTAAAACCCGTCTTTGACCCCATTATATCTCATATTATTACTGTAAGTCTTTTACAGAAGGAGGCAAAGGATGAACGCAAGAGAGTGGCGGAAAGAAAAATACAATCTGCAATCGGGTTCCGTCAAGTAATTGATCTGCTTTCTTCAGAGAAAAAGTTGATTGTTGGTCACAATTGTTTCCTGGGTATGCAAGCAAGTTGCTTCTTTATATGTCTATGATGGTTTTGTATGCTCTAACCTTTTTTGCTCTATCTGATGCAGATATTGCACATGTATACAGTAAGTTTGTGGGTCCTCTTCCTTCAACAGCTGAGAAATTCGTGGCCTCCATTCACGACCACTTTCCTTACATTGTTGACACCAAAATACTCTTAAACGTGAACCCAATGTTGCATCAGAGGATGAAGAAGTCCAGTACGTCACTATCCTCGGCGTTCTCCTTGTTATGTCCACAAATCGAGTTATCTTCACGAAGCTCTGACTCGATTCTTCAGCAGCGTGTCAAGATTGACGTCGAAGTAGACAATGTTAGGTTTGTTCCTCTTCTATTCTTGGCATGAACACTTGTATTGCTTTCTGGTTAAACGTTTTTTTCTCTGTTTTAGGTGTTCTAACTGGAATGCAGGAGGAAAACACGAAGCCGGTTATGATGCTTTCATGACAGGTTGCATCTTTGCACAGGCATGCAGTCATCTAGGGTTCGACTTCAAACATCATTCGGAATCAGAGAACCTTGCCCAGAACGAGAAACTTGACAAGTACATCAATCGTCTTTATCTCAGCTGGACTAGAGGCGACATCATCGACCTTCGAACAAGCAATAGTAATGCAGAGAACTGGCGAGTCTCAAACTCTAAATACGAGAACATTGTTCTCATCTGGAACTTCCCACAAAAACTTAAGGCTAGAGAGATCAAAGAATGCATCTGCAAAGCCTTGGGCTCGACTTCCGTCACTTCTGTCTACCACTTGGACAACACTGCGGTTTTTGTCTTGTTCAAGAACTCGGAACTCGTTTCGAACTTCCTAAAGCTCAAGCAGCAGCTGGAGTCAGACGATGGTCCTGTCAGGATCCTTCATCCTCTCTCGAAGATCCTGAAAGGAGGGAACACTGGCGCTGCAGACTATGATGCCTATAAAGAGATTTGCAGCTCACACATCTCAAAGATCCTATTCGCTGACCAAGCTGAAACGGTTGGTGTCAAATCAAGAACAAGACCCAACCCAAAAGGCGAGACAAGCCTTGAGACTGAGAGAAGAGAGAACATGGTCGCTGTCACTGACAAAGCATCGGATTTGATTGATGCTTTTTTGGCAAATAGAGTTGACGTCAAAGTCGCTAGGACTAATTAACCAAGCTCCCTTTCTTATCAAAGGCATCTGAAGTCTTTTTAAGAAACCTTGTCAACATGAGACGCGTATAACAGTAGTATATTACTAGAGATTTTGATTTTTTGTTTTGCGCTGCTACAACTTAAAAATAAACATATGAAGTAATGAATCCATAAACATATAGTACTGATAGAATTAATCTCAGACAATTGATCCGATGGAGATATCAATCTCGATAAAGTTATCTTCTGGATCAGTTTCTTCCCAATCCCATATCTCCATGATCGTCATCTCCACGTAACACTCTTCTTTGCTCATCCATTGTTTCTTCACACTCTCCAACTTCACGTCCTTTGCTTCTCTCTCCAAAGAAATCTCTATCAGCCCCTGTTCTTCTTCAACTAGGTTGGTTTTATTTTCTTGATCTTCAAGCTCTTCCTGACCATGAAGACAAGACTTGGAATTGTTGTTGAACACGTTTCTGGTGTGGAGAACGTTAGAGAGAAACAAGATTTGTATAGTTATGATAATGCAAAGATTCTTCAAGAAAGAGAATAATGAGATCAATAGTGTCTTATTGACTCCATTTCTCGCCATTGCTTGGATCAACAGACTTTACACAACCGATTTATATGTGTTCATCAGTACTCTCTCTATCATGACCTTTCCAATAGAATGCATTGAACAGAAACAGGGATTCTAATGGGTACGAAGACAAATTTCTGAGTACATGTTCCCCAGTATGTTGTAAGGGAGCCCATTAGGTCAGGACTTGTGGACAATAGAGAAGACAGCTGTTAGATGTAGTTATGGGAGTTTCAGACGTCAGACACATGCATTGTTTCTTTGACTTTCTTCCGTTGACTCCAGATATAGTCTTATCCATAAATCCTAGAGTCATTCACAATGCTACAAAGAATATGATACCCTCGGGTCAAAAATCAACAAGATTCCGACAAGCCGGCTTGATGAATGAAACCTATTGTAATCAATAACAGATGTAACGTTTCACTTTATGCCTAGGAATTCTAATCCAGTTGCGGTTGGACTCAACCCGTACAGGGCCAAGTACTGAGGGTCGTGAAACTTGCTTAGATGTCTCATTCCACTATCGCAAAGAATGGTGACAATTGTGTGACCAGGACCAAGGGTTTGAGCCACCCTCACTGCCCCAACACAGTTCATAGCCGAGGAGCTTCCAACAAAGAGCCCATCCTTCTTCAGAAGAAACCTGGGGACATAAAATTAAGAAAAGAATATTAAGATCGCAACACTTATGAATCTTTCTTTCATCAGTATTCTTAACAACAGGTTGGAACACTACCTCGACATCTCAACGGCTTCTTTATCAGTACCACGGAAACCGCCGTCAAGTTTTGCCATCAGGAAATTCTGAGTAAGCCTGTTGATTCCAATCCCTTCTGTTATGGTATCAAATGGGTTTTTCAGTCGACGTCCTTCAGCTTCCTCTCTTGTGTACATCACTCCCCTTGTTACTTTATTGTACAGACCAGATCCAGGAGGATCGATCAGGAAGCATTTAACTCTTTCACTCTTATCCTGTTTAAAGCACAAGACACGCATGAGCCTTTTTTTTGTTACCAACTACTGATTCATACAGCTGTGATAAGTATAATCCCTAATCAAGCACACCTGAAGAAACCTTGAAACGCCAGCTAAAGTACCACCAGTACCCGCCGCAGCAACAAAGGCATTGATGTTACCATGAGTCTGTTGCCAGATTTCGGGGCCAGTACCTTCATAATGAGCCCTATAATTTGCCAAGTTCTCAAATTGATCTGCAAAGAAGCCACCTGTAACAGAATCTGAGAATAAGGGAAGCTCTTTCTTTTCATCAGCTTTTTCGTGGTGTGGGCCATTTATCCCGCTCGCTACTCTTGCCAGTGATGCTAACTCATTTGCTTGGTCAGCCCGTCGCCGTGCAATGTTGACATAGTGATCTTTGTGAGTTATTGAGACTGGCCTCACCCTCTCAACGGTAGCGCCAAGGGCTTCAAGTATTTGAGACTAAAATAAGTCCAGCACGATAATACGATTTTGAGTATATAAAACATGTATAGTGCTTACAAAGGAATGTGTATCATCAAGGTGTTTGAAAGATATTACCTTTTCAATAGCAGCATCATCAGGTATAACAACATGACATTTGCACCCGTATGCCGGAGCAACTGTAGCAAGGCTTATGGCAGTACTCCCAGCACTACCTTCTGTTACAATTCCCCCCGGAAATAGCTTACCAGATTCCAAAGCCTAAAAGAACCAAACAAAAAAACTCCATTCTTAGAAAATCCAAGTTCTTGGACGTCCTTCTCGGTTTCGTTCTTACTTTAATAACTAGAACTTCTCTTTGCAAAACACTACAATGAATAGCCAAGCTGATGATTTCAATCACGACATTGTTAAAGAGGCTTAGGATGAAATCTACGAACTTTAAAGGGTAGGTAGAAAACTAGCAATATACTAATCAATGTTGCAGCAGAATTTACTGAGAATCTGAGCTAATAGTAGTATACCTCTTCAATGATCTTCACAGCTACTCTGTCTTTAACGCTACCTCCTGGATTCAAAAACTCGCATTTCCCGAGAATCTATAAATCAAACGAAAGAAGTAGACCAAAAAATTACGTCTTTAAATCATAATTCATCGGATAAATATCAGACCAACACTAGTTAAGGAAAAACGAGAAAAACCTCACATCCCGTAGCCTCGGAGAGGCTATTGATACGAATCAGAGGAGTATTGCCAATGGCATCGACTAGTCCGTTTCTCCTACTGTGCTTCTTCTTCTTCTTCTTCTCCTCAGAGGATCGCGAATCGAACTTATCGGAGGAGCGGAAGAAGCTCAAATAGCAGTAAGAAAGCACTAACGTCGTCGCCGCTGCAACAACAGCGCCGTTTATCCTCACAGACGCCATTGAAGCAGATTACGACTTTGTCGCTTTCTCCGTAATCTAACCGGTAAAATACAGCAAGTAGGTCGTCGTCGCCGGAGGAACACTACAGTATTTCTCTCCGTTTTTTAATGTAATCATCCCCAATTCTTCCATTAATTTCAGATGCGCATCAAATGTTTATAAATTACCAGATACGTCCTCCTAAAAACATCAGATGATGCATCTTAAATTTTAAGAAAGTTTTTTTTTTCACACCCCCTAAACGATGTCGTCCCTATCTCGCGTTCTCCGTGGCACCACCTCCTTCAACAGTTCCATGATCCGCCGCATTTCCTCCTCCGCCACCACCGCAAGCACGGAAATCACGGCCGCGATCGCTCCACCGAAAAATTCACTCAGCAGTATCGTGAATGACGAGCGAAACCCCAAACGGATGGTGGAGAAGTTCAAGAAGGCGTGTGAGTCGGAGCGGTTCCGGGCTAACATAGCCGTGTACGATCGAACCGTGCGCCGTCTCGTCGCCGCAAAGAGATTGCATTTTGTCAAAGAGATTTTGGAGGAGCAGAACAAGTATCGCGACATGTCAAAGGAAGGATTCGCGGCGAGGATCATTTCCCTTTACGGAAAAGCCGGAATGTTTGAAAACGCCCAGAAGGTGTTCGACGAAATGCCAGAGAAAAACTGCAAGAGGTCAGTGCGGTCCTTCAATGCCTTGCTTAGTGCGTATGGGCTTTCCAAAAAATTCGATTTGGTTGAACAGCTTTTCTATGATTTGCCAGACAAGCTATTAATCGAACCAGATATCGTATCTTACAATACTTTGATCAAGGCATTGTGTGAGAAGGGCTCCTTCTCAGAAGCTGTGGCATTGCTTGATGTGATTGAGAACGAGGGTTTGAAACCTGATATAATCACATTCAACACACTTTTGTTATCGTCATATTTGAAGGGACAGTTTGAGCAAGGGGAAGAGATATGGGCTAAAATGGTGCAGAAGAATGTAGCGAGAGACATCAGAACTTACAATGCTCGGTTGCTTGGATTAGCCAACGAGGCGAAATCAGAAGATCTAGTAAATCTCTTTGAAGAAATGAAGGCTAGTGAGATCAAACCTGATGTTTTCAGCTTCAATGCTATGATTAGAGGGTCAATCAACCAAGGAAAAATGGACGAAGCCAAATCGTGGTACAGAGAAATTGTGAAGCACGGTTATCGTCCTGATAAAGCTACCTTTGCTTTACTGCTTCCTGCAATGTGTAAAGCTGGCGACTTTGGGTCTGCGATGGAGCTCTGCAAGGAGGCATTCAGTAAGCGTTATCTTGTCGGTCAAGCAACATTGCAGCAGTTGGTAGATGAATTGGTAAGAGGGTCCAAGAGAGGAGAAGCTGAGGAGATTGTGGAGATGGCAAAGACCAATGATTTCTTAAAGATGAAGCTAGATTTGTCGTCTCAGGAGGAGTAGTAAGTGGTTCATTGTCACTAGTGTCTGGTTGCATTGTGTGAGAGAACCCTTGGCGCTATTTTTTTGCTTTGTGGCTTCTGTAGTTCTTTCAACTTTTTCTATTGTGGAAGAGAAAACACACGTCTCTTTCCATGTAATTTCGGTTATTTCACTATGGCAGAAATAATGGCAGGTAGTCGAGGTTTAAGCAGGTGAAACGCTACGCATTTGGTAAATTTTTGGTTGAATTCATTGTTTTGCTTTGATCAAGAAATTGCATTTACTCTTAATGGTCTTAAATTACCAAAGAAAATGCCAAAAATAGTCTTAAATTTGGTACTCTGAATAATTTCACATACATACATACATTGGCAGTAATTATTCACAACTAGAGAACGCAATTCCTTCCATATTAGGAAGAGAAAAAAATGAAAATCAATATCGGTGGCGTGGACAAAATATCGGAGCTGATATAAACCGACTTCCAAACAGGGGATGTGTCTTTAATTGAGCCCACAATTCCCGTTTCCAAACAGCCCCGTATTGGGTTATTTTCCATTCTCCGATCATTTCAAAACCCTACTTCAACCCTGCGATTCTCAGGGATTGGAGAAAACGCCGAAATCGGAAATGGCCTCTATTGCTCTTCGATCTCGCCTTATGCCAAGATTAACAAAGCTTGGATCTCTTAATCCAAGGATATTCTCTACGGAAGCATCTTCATCGAATCCCTCATCGAAGGTTCCGGGAATCTCCTCTGGCCAGTCGATCTTTTCTGATTTCCCACCGCCAAATCAGCCGCCGCCTCCTCCTCTAGCGGAAGCGGCAGCCACGGAGGCGCTGGGAAAGGAGCGGAAAGGTCTTAAGTATCTTAGTAACGCACTCATCTGGGCACTCACGGGTGCTACCGCTGCTACTGGTTACGCAAGTTATGGTCGGTAGTTGCATTTTTCTTCCATTGTTATCTTCTAATCAAAGTTTCACAATATCTGTCTTTTGAATTCACTTGGTAGAAGTGTGTTTTTCTTAGTTATTTTTTGATGTGAAGCGTGAAATATTCATGTCTTTGACTCTTTGAGATCTGATTATTCTAGTTCTTTTTAATGCAGCTTATACTTTGGATGAAGTGAATGAAAAGACCAAGGCGTTCCGTGAATCAGCTAAGCAGATACAACCAGATGTTAATTCTTCCGGCATTGATGTGAGTTACACTTGACTCGCTTTCAAACTAAATCCTGACTAACCATTGTTTCTCTATTGACTCGTTGACTTCTATATCTCAACTACTATTTTTAACTAACCCCTGTAAAAATTTGCCCATGTTTATCCCTTCAACGGATCCCTTATAAGTTTCCCTGAATTAAATACTTCATATTTACTCATCTCTTTGCAGAAATATCAAGCTATGTTGTACTCTGCTGCCATGATAGGTACTGTCCTTTTCCCTCTGTCATCAAAACTATTAGTATGTCTTTAATTAAGCTTAGCAAGCATGACTTGGTTTTGTTTGAATTCTGATCAGTTCCTGTCAAAGCCATTGAAATGTATTTGGAGCTTAGGGAAGTTGTAGAGGAACATGTGAAAGTACGTCCTTTCACCGACACACAATATTGCTTCTTTACATCTTCTTTTTTTTTTTCTTTCTTCCGACTTCTTCTATAATGATTATTTCCTCTCCGGTTCCATGTAGGGCTTTACGGAACCTCTCTCAGAAAAGCTTCTTCCTGATTTGCACCCCTCAGAACAGAATGCCTTCACTCTCGTTCTTGATTTGAATGAGACACTGCTTTACACAGACTGGAAGGTAATAGTTTTATCGATTTGACAGTTGATGTATGAGTTATGAGACAAAGCAGTCCTGGTGAAGTGAGATTTGTTTTCTTAAGGAATAATCTTTTCTGCCTTTTTTTTTAATTTACAAAAAAAAAAATAGCGGGACAGAGGGTGGAGGACGTTTAAAAGACCAGGTGTTGATGCATTCTTGGAGCACCTTGCTAAATTTTATGAGATTGTCCTGTATTCTGATCAGATGGATATGGTAAATTCCCCCATTAACTTGTTCTAGTTTTTTTTTTTTCATGTAATCTCATCATAATGCGGCATTTAACACTTGTTCCATTGCTTCTAGTACGTAATTCCGGTCTGTGAGAAGTTAGACCCAAATTGCTACATGCGTTATAAGCTAACAAGAGGCGCTACTAAATATGTGAATGGAAAGCACTATAGGGTACGTAAGCAGCTTCTCTTTGTCTAACAAAACATACGTTCTCACTTACCAAAGTAGCTGTTTCACAACTTAAAACTAAAAAAAAAAATTCTGCTGCAGGATCTGTCAAAGCTGAACAGAGACCCGAGGAGGATTCTGTATGTTAGTGGGAATGCTTTTGAATCAAGCCTGCAGCCAGAAAATTGCGTGCCAATCAAGCCTTACAAACTCGAATCTGATGACACGGCGCTTGTTGACCTGATACCCTTCCTTGAATGTAAGTAGGGTTCAATTCCAGTCTCGTGAAGTGCATTGACCAATGTTGGTTGATTGATCTTTCTATCTTTCTTTTGGGTTTGGGCCTGCAGTTGTTGCACGTAACGCTCCTGCTGATATCAGGCCGGTTCTAGCCTCTTACGAGAGAAAAGATATTGCAAAAGAGTTCCTTGAAAGGTCACTAGAGTATCAAAAGTGAGTCGAGCTGAACGTTTTCTTTACCCATGGCATCAATCTCAAATATGTTGCTAGTTGTCCACTAAGACTGTCTCTGTCATAATCAAATATGCAGGCGAATGCAAGAACAACGAGAACAAAGACAAAGCCGATTCTGGAGGCGTTAAAAGGATCTAAGCATTTCTGTATAGTGAGAGCAGTCATGGCGAGTGGGGCGACCGCCCTGGACCCAGTTTTTTTTGTTTTTGATGTTTTAAAATTTGATAAAAAAATGTCACATGATCTATGATTTATTATTATCCTTTCTCTTAAACAGCAAACTCTTTTCCTATACTCCTATAAAAACTTATTTTGCATTCTATAATAATCTGTTTTGGGTAATTACCAAATAAATTATGATTATGAACCTCGAGAAGTTATTGGTTGAAACGTCTGTATTGTGTGTGTTTTTCGAACACAGAAAATAAAAGTAATTACGTACGCTAATATCAATGCGTGACTTAAGGTGCAATGTCAGGTCTGTCTACAGTTAGGTCAGTCAACCTCTCCACTGGTTATCAACCTTAAGAATTGTTCAGTTTTGCAATTACAACCAGATTTCCCTTTTTAAATCTGAACCAAATAATTCAACTTTTTTCTTTCTAAAATATGATTGTTGAACTCATCCAAAAAGGGTCCAAGTCTTAACAACCAATAACAAAGATCTTTCACCTGTAATCCTTTTTAACGAGTAGTAGTAATAGTCAAACAACCAAAAACCATATATTATTGTACTACAAAACTCCAATGACTTATTGTACGACTCTTAAACACCACTCACTCATATATTATTATTGAAACAAAGCTGAGAGACACACAAACCCACTCAAGATTCACATGTCTCGTCCGCTTCTCTTCTTCTTCTTCCTCTATCTTGTGTTGGTCGTCCCTTGTCTCTCCCACGGAGCCGGAGGAGACCGCGACGACGATGAGGCTGCGCCCGTTAAGAGTTCCGATCTCAAATCAAGATCTCTAATCTCTGTCAAAATCGGATGTCTTGTCATCATCTTTGTCCTCACCTTCATCAGCGGCGTGTCTCCCTATTTCTTGAAATGGAGCCAAGGGTTTTTGGTTCTCGGCACACAGTTCGCCGGAGGAGTGTTTCTTGCGACCGCCTTGATGCATTTCTTGTCCGATGCCGACGAGACGTTTCGGGATTTGTTGACGGCGGAAGGAGAGTCGAAGCCATCTCCGGCTTACCCATTTGCTTATATGTTGGCTTGTGCTGGTTATATGTTGACCATGTTCGCTGATTCTGTCATCTCTCATGTCTACTCCAAGACCCAATCTTCTTCATCCAACGATCTGGAGGTCCAAAAATCGAATCAGAGTTCGGTTGGAGACAGCATTCTATTGATCGTTGCTCTGTGTTTCCACTCTGTTTTCGAAGGCATAGCCATTGGGATCTCAGAGACTAAATCAGATGCTTGGAGAGCTCTATGGACAATAACTCTCCACAAGATATTCGCAGCGATTGCCATGGGAATCGCTCTTCTCCGTATGATACCTGACCGTCCTCTATTCTCCTCAATCACATATTCTTTCTCATTCGCCGTCTCGAGCCCCATTGGAGTTGCGATCGGAATAGTCATCGACGCAACAACTCAAGGGTCGGTCGCGGATTGGATATTCGCAGTGTCGATGAGCTTGGCGTGTGGGGTTTTCGTTTATGTCTCTGTGAATCATTTGCTGGCAAAAGGGTATCTCCCAAACAAAAAGGTTCACGTCGATGAGCCTCGTTTTAAGTTTTTGGCCGTTTTGTTTGGAGTTGTTGTCATCGCCATTGTCATGATATGGGACACTTGAATTTTAGAGTCTTTTCGATTTTTGTTTTGTTTTTTAACAATTTGTAAAGAAAAAGTTGTTTTTTAACAATTTAGAGTCTTTTAGATGTTAATGGCCGTTGATTTTAGAGTATTCGGTTTTGTAGCAGAAACCAGGGGTGTTTCATCATATAAATAAAACGCAACGGATTTAAGATTGGGCTTTTAATGGGCCCATTTGTGTTGTTATTAGTGTCTTTGTCCCGCCACACTCTATTAGACCACCAGATCGGACCGATGGTTGCCAACCAAAACAGTGGCCAAATTTCGAAAGAGAGATTTCAAAAACCTGCAAATCTCTGAGAATCATCAATTCCGAGAAACAGGAAAAAACAAATCAAATCCGCTCTTAAGCAACTCTTGTTTGAACCGTTTCATTCCCTTTTTCGCCGTAATCGCGTATGAATCGCGACCGAGCCTATGTTTAGTTGTTGTCATCGGAAGAAATTGTGAAGGGGTTCGATGAATTTGGGGGATTTAAACAAGGTTTGGGAAATTAAGGCTCTTAAGAAGAAGCCTAGGGAAGATGAAGCCAGGAACATTCTGGATAAAGTAGCGAAGCAGGTTCAGCCGATTATGGTTCGACGGAAATGGCGTGTCAAGCTTCTCTCTGAATTCTGGTAAATTATACTCTCTCTTTTTTTTTTGTCTAGAATTATACTGAAGCATTTGGCTTTTAAGGAAGGTTCATAATGTTGTTGTTGAATTCAAAATCGCAGCCCAAAAAATCCGAGGCTTTTGGGTGTGAATGTAAATAGAGGCGTGCAAGTGAAATTGCGGCTTCGGAAAGTAAACCATGAGGGAGACTTCTTATCCTACCATGAGATCCTTGACACCATGCTCCACGAGCTCTGCCACAACGCCCATGCTCCTCACAATGCAAGTTTCTATAAGCTTTGGGATGAACTTCGAAAGGTTTTTTCTTTGATTAACCCTTTACTGCTTCTTGTTTCATGCATGTTTGATGTTGCGGGCGGATTTGATCCTAGGATGCTGTCTTTATTGTGCCTTGTTTTGTTTCTCTTTGCTGAAACCCCCTACCACTGTGGCTTATTTGAGATAAATCAATACTTGTTTTTGGCTACTTTTTGCCAATTGTTCATGTGTGTTCTCGCAATGCCGCTTTGTTTAACTAATTCCATTATGTCCAGGAATGCGAGGAGTTGATGACAAAGGGTATAACAGGGACAGGGCAGGGATTTGATGTTCCTGGGAAGCGTTTGGGTGGATTTTCTCGCCAGCCTCCCCTCTCATCTCTTCGGGCAACCGCAGCTTCAGCGG